GTGTGTGTGTGTGTGTGTGTATACATATATAAATGTACAGGTACACAGTAAACAATCATTATAAAATAATGCTAAACATTCTGGCAATTTTCCAATCATTGTGTGATATCTGCATTTGTTAAAACGTGTGTGAATGGAAACAATGCTACCATGCATTTCTGATCATGTCACAGTGCATCCATATGAACTCTGAAACAAATATTTGATACATTATGAATGAGAATGAGACCAATTTAACCCATTGCCGCCGGGGATGGCATGTACGTACATGCCATGCCCACTGTGAGTCGACTTGTTCGATGGTTTTTACACATAGATGGCTACACTTGTACTAAGTATCCAGTGAGCCAATTACGAGTACTGCCTGTCTCGCCCGTTCACCCTTTTCATCGATTTACAAAAATATTTAACGTTATCCTAATTTGGTGTTAAAAGTGAATGCTAATTTGAATACTGTTCTTGCATTTCTTGTGAGGAATCACTGTTTATGTTTACTTTTGCATTCTTTTGCTGAATTTAATTGTTTTACTGCTTATGAAGTTGGATTGTGAGAATGTACATATCAAACATACACTTGTCAACATCTATATCCACATTCATTAAAGCAGAGAAAATAAGGTAGATACTTTTTTTTTTAAATTTCAGTTTGCTAAAAAAAAATCTTTGTTCATTTGAGAAACCAATTATATGTGAGCATTTTTTTTTTCTTTTTCTCTTTCCGTCAAGATGAGGGACTCAGATGGCATCATCTCCTTGGAGGGCATATTGACCCATTTTCTGGAAAAGGGAACCCAAAGTTTTTCTAAGGCTTTAGACTATAGGCGCCTAACATATGAATAATAGTCTAGAATTACTACTAGACGTGCCTAACATGGTCAGAGGGTTGACGGACAGACTTATCCCTTATGTAATTTGTCAGTTCAAAGGTTTACTATATATAGAGAAAGGAGGAAATCATTATTAAAAATTATCAGAATTTAAATGTCTAAACTAAATGCATAAAGTGATTTTAGTAGTTTTGAAAATTATTAATAATCATTATTATCATTATCATTCTTTTAAACCAGAGACACCTACAGATATGGAAGGCAAAAAATATTGAATCATTAATATTTCTGTGATATGAATATGGTATTTTTCTCTATTCTCAGATTCTTGCAAGGCTTGTAAACTTTGTATGTTCAGTTGCTGCATCTGACACTTGGAGACCATTACTACAGCAAGATACCAGTCTTCTCATCACTAGTGTTTGTAAGTAGGTCTTTCTTTTGTAAAAAGTTCATTTCATAATGTCCATCAGAGAAGCAGTTATCTTCCTTTAAATCAGAATGTTATATCATTATGCCCTGGTAACTCAAGTATTCAACACTGTCTGATTTTGTTAAAATGTACAGTCATACCACTTGTTTTTGTAATATTATGAACAATATAACCTATATTTGTAACATCAAAATTCAATGTAGATGTTTTGTAAGTACCATATAGTGGATCATTAGTGTGCGTGGCTTGTTTTTGAGGGGGTTTCCTCAAGCCCTTTTTAATCTTAGAATTCAATTAAATATTAAAAACATTCAGTAGTGATAATTTTAATTGGAAAAATACCATTTTAAAGTATCTCTTCATCTTTACAGTCTTATTTTTTAAGTGATTTGAAATATATCTGAAGTTATTAATTCTCAAAGGAAGAGATTTTATTGTTTGCAGGCATATATTAAAACTTTATTTAGCATATAAACATATGCATTAGCCCTACAGATGAATCATATGGTGAAGGAAGAATAAGTGAATTCCAATATATATGATTTTTGGCTCGAGTATATTGTCATAGAAATGAAGGTAATAGAGAGGAATAATATTGATGGATATTATACAAGGCTTATAAGAAAACAACAATAAATAGCAACATGTAGCATGTCACACTATAATTTAAGCTTACCCAAAACTAACATTTTCAACAGATTTACTGAGATGTATGAATGACATTGGGAAAGTTGGAGACAATGCCTTCACACCAATTGACCGCATGGTGGATTTAAGCGATGAGGAAATAATGGAGAATGCTGCCTCACATCCAGCTTTTGGCTTTAAATGTGACCTGATAAGATTGATTGCTGGTCTTGTTTATAGACATAAAGTTAATCAAGACCAGGTAAGTTGTTTGGATATATTAATTTCGTTGTTGTTTAAGTGTTTATTGTTGAAAATCCTTGGTCATTTTCAGTACGGTATATTTTTATAAAATGTGATACTTGTTTAGGAATGAAAATACAGAACTGTGATCATTGTTTTTTTCCTTTTATATTGGCATTAGTTTGGACTTTTATACAACATTGACTTGTAAAATATAGGAAGTAGTCAGTGCACAGAATTTCAGCAGTTATGATTATCAGCTCTTGTAAAGTGTCTAGCAGAAAGGAGGGATTGATGGGCATTTTATTAACCATGTACTTCTCACTAGGTTCGTGAAATAGAGGGCTTACTCCTGTTGCTGGAATGCACA